ATATCAGACATTCAGTTCTTGAGATGTGAGAGGAGATATTAGTTCCCTGACATCAACAAACTTACATTTCATTTGGCTGCACAAAAATAACACAAACAATTAAGTCAATAATTGATATAAACAATTCTACAAGACAGGATGGTGGTTATCTTTGTAAGGTATAGAATACCAAAGAGAGTATGGGGGTTTTCTGGGATACTAGTCTATTCTTTCTTGATCTGGGTGTTTGGTGAATGAGTATACCATATTTGTGTGGTTGGTATATCATATCAATGTGTGGTTGGCTTTGACAAGTGTACTTTTATGTAAACTTAGATATATATATTTCTCTGAAGTGTTAAAAGAAGTTGGTCTGAAAATTACATAAAAAATATGAAGCATAATTAGTTAGCATATAAATAAATGCCAAAATAAATATTATGAAGAATCAGTACTGTTTGAAGATAAGAACAAAGAGAAATAACTATGGCCTGCAATGATTACAAAAATAAATTGTGCTCTTGAGCTTTTAACTGTATGATAGCCACATTATAGCCATTAATATACCTTAATTTATTTATCAACTCCATAGGCAAGTGTTCATATTATTCTTATTTTAAGATGAAGAAATCAAGTTTATGTGACTTGTCCATTTCTACATAGCTTTTCAGTAGTGAGCCTAGGTTTTAAACCCAAGTCTACTTGGTTGCCTGCAAACTCAGATCTTATATACCAAAAAAGTATGTAGACAGTCCACCAAAGTTTGGGATTCTGGAGGAGCAGAAAGCAGAAAAGCAGGCAACCAAAGCAGGAAGTGTAAGTTTTGAAGGCAGAAATATTTGTGGAGCAGAGAAATTCTCTACTGGATGGAAGCAAGGACTATATGTTATGTTTGTTTCAATTACCCTCAAAACCCTTTTCTGGGCAGTCTCAGGACAGAATGGCCTGAGAAATTCTGAAATGTATCTGCCTCTCTTTGAAAACAGCCACAGTGGATGTAAAAACCAAAAATAACCTGTAAAATCTGTTTCAAGTAAAAGCTGTTTAAAAAAATACATAGCACTTTAAAAATTAACATGAAAATGACTGTCGCTGAGAAACAGCCTGTGCCTGTGGTTAGCACAAACAATCCCACAGCACACATTTGTTGTTATGTTGTTCACGAACTCACAGTTCTTCCCTCCAGGCTTGTGTGCTAGCTACCTACATTACTGAAAATAGAAATTTGCCATTTCAAAAGAAAGGGAAAGAATGCCATGGATGATTCTTGGAAGCGCCACACAGCTAGCTTCCACCAGCAAGCGTACTTCCGACCTCCCCCGACTGCTCCAGGAGGTGCCATGAAGAGTTTAGTGTCATCCAGGAACTAGGGCAATTAGGGAGGATTGCTGTGCTGTTGCAGAATGATAAATAAATGAGAAAACAGTTCCTTTGCTCCCTCTCTCACGCTGAGCTCTCGCTGTAAACCAGCCCTTCAGTGCCACCTTCTACCAGAGCTCAGAGTCTCAGGGTTAGAAAGAGGACGGTAAGGGCCTGTAGTATCCTCCTCTGCTCAAGGCAATGTAGGGATCCCTGTTGGTCCTACCGCCTGTGTAACTCCACCTCACCAGATCTCACATTTGATTTGGATTACACCCCTGCCGGGAACATAAAATCTCAAATGAACGACCCAGGGGGCTCAGCAAAAGGTCACCAGATGCCATCTTAAAGGTCTGCCAGCCTTGGCAGCCACTCAGTGCCCCCA